TATATATTGGACGAATGGTAACGAAAGAGTAATAAGAAGCTAAATAAGATAACTTCATTCCTATTGTCTTATATATAAACTAATTCTAACAATTAAGTATAACTTAATTCATTTTTTCTTATTCATGTACAAGTGTACATGTTTATTAAAAAGACCTAAGATTAAGATTATTAATGACAGTTGGCAAATATTCAGTTATTTCTTATCTTGAAAAACGCCGAATAAGTTAAAAAAAAAAACAAGGAATGTTTTGTGGCCATCATTTTTTTTATATTAATTTTCCTACCATATACGGCATGCAAAGGAGATTTCAGGAATCTCCAAACCCAGAAACCAGTTGAATGTAAAGAGAATGGCGGTTTTTTTTTTGGGTGTCAACAGCCCGGAACGACCATTCACAAACAAAAAATGTATTATAAATTGAGCCTTCACTCTCACTTCCATTTTCTTATAACTTAAGTCTACAACGCTTCCATTTCCTCATCCCGCCATGTCCAACTCCAACTCCAACCCCAACCCGAAGAAGAGCCGTGGCCGCCAAAAGATCGAGATGAAGAAGATGAGCAACGAGAGCAATCTCCAAGTCACGTTTTCGAAGCGTCGCAGCGGGCTTTTCAAGAAGGCGAGCGAGCTCTGCACTCTCTGTGGCGCTGACGTGGCACTGGTTGTGTTCTCTCCCGGTGACAAGGTGTTCTCCTTCGGGCACCCCAACGTGGACGCGGTCATAGACCGTTATCTGGCGCGGGCCCCACAGCCCAACACGGGCACCATGCACTTCATCGAGGCCCACCGCGTGGCGAACGTGCGTGACCTGAACGTGCAGCTGACTCAGATCAACGGGCAGCTGGAGTCGGAGAGGAAGCGGGCCGATGAGCTGGCCCGGCTGAAGAGGGCGACTCAGGCCCAGCTGTGGTGGGCCTCTCCGATCGATGACATGAGCCGGGTCCAGCTGGACCAGTACAAGGTGGCTCTGGAGGAGCTGAAGAAGCACGTTGCACGCCTTGCTGATAGGGCTATGCTTCAGAGTGCTGCAAACCCTTCTCATCATCATCATCACTTTTTCCCTGGGGCTTCCTCCTCTTCCAACGTTGTGAATCAGCCACATAACCCTCAGATGTTCCCGCCACAGATGATTCAGCCTTCCATGCTTCAGAACTACATGTTTCCTGATGGGACCATCATGCACCCCAATGGCTTCAACAACATGGGATTTGGACCTGGCAATGGTGGTTTCTTTTGATCCGTTCACATCAATGAATGAATCAATGGATCCATGGATGCCCTTTCGTCTTCTTTTGTTTTCATCTACCTCAGCCCTACCTAGCTTCATTATGCATGACAAATGGTTTCGATTGATTAGGGTTCGGATATTCTACACATATCCTTCAACCATCATCGTCAACTTCATTTCATGTATCGTGTTAGATGTTTTCCCTTCGTGTTGTTGTTGTTGTTTCTTCTTTGTTATGTAGTGTCGACCGGTGTAGTTTCATTTCAATTATTTGAATAAAGGGCATCTTATTTATTTACTTTTATGTGTTTGATTTGTTTTTTGATTTTGCCAAATTAATTTTTATAGAATTAATTTGAATTCTCTTGGAATTCTGATAAACACATAAATTCCTCCATTTTGGGGGAGTTTTTTAGGTGGATAGAAAGAGATAAAAAACAGAAGAGAAAGGAAATTACAAATGTGGTAAACAGTGTGACGGCGAAAAAGAAAAAAAAAAGGAGATGAAAAGAAAATAGCAGTGCCGTGAAAGAAAAATAAGTATATAAGTATAATTATTCTTTCTAATTCAATTGCGAGTTGCAAATTGCAAAATCATTTGCACTTCTCTTTAAATGTACAACATTTTGAAGTTATATGAAGTTATATGGGAATATACTTAGCGTGTGTGTTTGGGAGTATGTTGGTATGCAGAAGCTACAACTGGGTAGTTTGTGTTGAGATCGATTTAATAAGTATCATGTTAAATGTGTTACCAGAGCCATAACCAAATACACTGTCACCAATCTTCTATTTTAAAGTTGAATAGAATCGATTTTGGTAGAATTTATTAATTTTTATATCATTGAGTGTAATTCAAAACAAATGGCACTATGATGGTTGATGAAATTAATTTAGATTTTACATATATATTGGACGAATGGTAACTATTTGCCATTGCAAGACAAATAACTTTTATATATATACCATTTTATTTTATTTGGTATACTTCAATTTAGATTAATGGTACAAGAGGTTCAGACTTTCTTCATCAGAAACAGTTGCCAGTATGATAGTTGAGGAAATTCGAAATTATAAAGTGAAAAAGGGGAGAAATAATGATGAAGATGAATTTGCACTAAAATGTACAAAAATAATTATTAAAAAATTTAGTAATTTAAGCATAAATTGTTTATTGTAAATGATATAATAGTAACATTAAAACTGTTGGCTAATTATAGATTGTCGTATATGATACAATTGTTGAGTTTTTTTAACAATTATTTTAAAAGTTATATTTAAAATAATTTTTAATTAATTCACCATGTAAAAAAATTATACTAATAATGTATGAAAATTAAACTTACACATGGTATAATCAAATGGATTGCAAGATAGTCATAAATATGCTATTATATGGAATTTTGATTAATGGTTAAAATTTACGTTAAAATTAGCCAAAGTTATTAAACAAAGATTATATCATGTTGTAGTTTTTTTTATTAAAAATAAGTTTACTTGAGTTTTGAAAAGTGGTTTTGTTATTTAATTTTCTTACATTTTATTTAGAGAGAAATACTAATATTTTGATATTTTTATTTTCAAATTTCAAATAATTATTGTAATTATTTTTCAAAGTTTTTTTAATAAAAAAAATAAACAGCGAAAGGATATAACTCTCTAGTTTTTTTGGTATGAAAGAGTGGCGATTATTGAATGACGGCTTAAATATACAAATATATGCACATATTACCGTCTAATGTACTTAATTTAGGTTCCAAATTTTATATGATGCTAAATTGGAAGAGTTGGATCGATAGCCGTCATCATATGCACATAAATATATATTGGAAGAGTCCCACCCATTTGCCATTGCAAGATAACTTATTCATATATACCATTTTTTTTTGGTATACTCATAATTTAGATTAATGGTGAATATTTGTGCTAAAACTAGCCAAAATTTATTAGATAATTTGCATTGAATCAAACCGAGGTGGTAATTTTTAATTGAGCCGTTTTCTAATGGATATGACTCTTCAGTATTACCTATTTATGTTTATATATATATATATATATATATAT